TGGCTTCTTTCCTGGCAGTCTTCTTCTCTTTCTTCTTTCCTTCTCGCGACTTTCCTCCAGTTGTACCTGGAGTCTTTGCTGGAGTACCTTCAGCTTTCCTTCCTGGCGTCTGCAGGAGGTTAGCTTGCTCCACCAAGGTAGCTCGCCTCTCTTCTGCACTTTGCCGCATTTCTTCCAACTCCGCATTCCGGTCCACCATGACATCTTCATGTACAGGCCTTGCCACTCTAGGCAACGGTTCGTGTTCCGTAACCCGAGATACTTTCTGGTGAGGTTCATCCTGGAAGATCTCACTGTCTTTGAGTTCCATAGTTCCTGCCGCTGGGACAAGAGATCCTTCTTCCGATCGTTCTCCCATACTCGGGGATACAATTGATCCCATACACAATCCGAAATTTCCTCTTCGAGGGTAAACGGCTGAGGTCGAATAACAAGGTGAGACATGTTCATCCGCAAGCAACTTGTTTCCTGAATGCTTCCTTGGCTCAGCGTGATACTCATACAGAATCCAACCACAAATAGCAAGAGGTCCTGGTACATCTTCTCCATGATCACCTTCATGGCGAATTCCAAGATTTACTGTCCAGTTTCCAGGTATCCTCGTGTACTTCTTCCGGTTCCAATCCGGTTTCCTTCGGCCCACAGGTTTCCTGGATCTTCAGGCTTCCTTGCTCCGCTACCAAGTTAAACTGTAAAACCCTGAGCGGTCACGCTTTTACTCTTGAACCAAAGGCGCTGCATCGGTCACATAGTATACAGCTATACAATACTATACCGTAGCCTGGGCTCACCAAAGGTGTGGGGCGTTCCTATGTACAGAATTCAACATCGGCGCCGTAGCAAAAGTAGTACTCCAGTGCAACACTGAGTACACAAAACCCCTTTTCACCCACTACAAAGTCAGCAACTGTGCCCGCTCACGTAACTCTCGAAGTTTGGTCTTGCTCAAGGTCTTTGTGAGTAAATCAGCAATGAGCGTAGCGCCTGGCTGATGCTCAAGCGGAATGCCGTGCTCATGCATTTGATCTCTCACCCATGCGGCCCGAAGTGCAAATGCACGAGTGCGCCACGAACACTTGTGAAGCACCTCTCGGTTCAGAAGCTGGATGCTTCCGGAGTTGTCGCCGTAAAGGCGGATGGACACGGGCACCGTGCAACCCAGGAGAGCCTCCGCGAGCGGTTGCAGTTTCAGTCCCTCCGCAATCGTTGTGGCCAGAGCATCGGTCTCGGCCTCTGTAGCTGACCATGCCGTCACCGTTTGCTTGCATGACCACCATGCGATTGGAGATCCCCTAATGGTTATGATACCGCCGCTTCTCGAGCGGCTGCCCTCCGCTGCAAAGCTGGCATCCGACCAACACTGCAGTCCCTCAGGTGCTCCAGTTGTTGCGCCATACGTCAATGCAACATCCAACGTACTACGTAAGTATCGCCACAACCCCTTAGCAACACGTAACACTTCCTTCGGACCCTTATGCAAATGACTAGCTGCAATGGAAACAGTGGCCACGATGTCAAACCGTGTCTTTGTCGCAATCCACAGCAAACACCCCAGTTCAACCTGAGCTGCGCGAAGATTTTCTTGATAGTCTGACTCATCCGATTTGTCGACTGCTGACATGTCCACATTCGGCAAACACGGGGCGCCGTTGAAATGTAGCCAACCACGCTTGTGAAGCTCGGTGAGGACCCAACGTCTCTGATGGAAAGCGACTGCTGCACCCTTAAAGCGAATCTGTAGCCCGATAAAGCTGAGTTCATCGACACGCTTCAGCGTCAAGCCGTCTCCACAGTCAAGTGATTGCTCATCGCCGCGCGCGAAATGAATCCTGAAAACTTTGTGTCCCACGTTCTGGCGATGAGTCCCATAGTGGCGCCGACGGCTGACGGCACACCAACTGCGAACACATCGTCAACATAAACCGCTACAATATGGCTTGAATCTTTCCCTCGGCATCCTTGGCAACAAACAAACCCTCACGATCATCAACCAAGGTCAAGGTGATTTGCTTGCCCCCTGCATCGATGACCTTGCCGTTCAATGTTGCACCCCGAAGTTGGCTCCAAGCTCGTGGACTACGCCGAAGTCCATAGATGTGTTTCCTGGCTCTCCATAGCGTTCCCGGTCGGACTAGACCCAGTCGCCGTAATATCCCCGGAGGTTCAAGGAGTACGATTTCATCATCAGGTAGGACTGAATTTAGGAATGCCAGGGACACATCCCCTGACGCCCCGATCCAGTCATCATGACTCGACAATTGTTGCGCCATCAATCTCAGAGCTTCCGGACTAATGTTTTGCGTGCTATTCTCCTCCGCTACATTCTGCATCTCATGATTCCCACAAGCAACGATTCGCACTTTCGCCTTCCAAGGAAGATTACCCTGGTGCTCGGCGTTTGCATCCAAGGGTTTCCGCGTCGCTGCCAATTTTGTGGGCAATGGCCTAGGTATGTGTTGCGCATCCACCCCAAGGTCTCTTTCAAGATGATCGCGATCAACATCCTCGAGAACCTCCTTCTTGCGCATACCCCCAAGCTCACTCTTCGCTCCCTCAATCCAGCGCTCCTTCTCGTCCCCAAAAAACACTCGGTTGTCCATGAGATCTGCACTGGCCTTTGTTGCGGCTACTTCGGTCATTAGCCGAGCAAGTTCATCTGCCTGAGTTTCCACATCGGCATCGTCCAAATGATACTCCCTGGTCGTGGACTCCCGCGAGTTAGTGATGACATGAGCTGCTGGAATTACCCCAACATCAGAAGTGTCCACCAAAAACCCATGACCATACTGAGCAAACCGTGCAAGACCTTCGTCGCCGTGTAGCTTGCTCATTCGCATCTTGATCTTCTTGATCAGGCTTTCGAGGTCGTCCTCATGGTCGTCCGGTCCTAGCACTCGCTCCTCCAAAGTCAAGACACCGCTCGGTGGCTCCTGACTCCAGCTAGTCTTACCATTCGACGCCAACCACAACCGATCGCCAGACGGCCCCTCAACAACCTTCCAAGTAACCCGCGGTATGTCAACCAGCCGTGGCAACCGTGCCTTTTGAAGTTGCAAGCGTCCATTGGCCTGCGTGGTTACCCATGCCCCACCAGGCATATCATCACACATTCCAACGAACACTCCAATTTCGGCTCGAGGCCTGAAACCCTCCGGATTGTGTCTACGAATTGCCACTGCGTCCCCAATCTTGGGTGCATCCTTCGGAATAACCCCCTTTAAGGTACGCACACGATGCCTCAGAGCCGCATCCTGCATGGCGAGGTGCCAGTATACCACCGGCATTCCAGCATGTGTGAGGGTTCGAATCACCTCATCCTTGAGTATCTGGATGCCCCTCTCGATGATGCCGTTTGCCTTTGGTGTGTATGGTGCTGATGTCGTGGGAAATGCACACACATCCTTCAGGAGCTGCTGGAATTCCTTGGAGATAAATTCCCCCCATTGTCAGTGTGAACCCGAAAGAATGGCTCCACTCCCAATGCGCATAATCGCGCCATGACCTGTGCAGCCTCGGTCGCCACTTCACTGCCCTGCTTGGTCCTCAGACCCCGAACGTAGTACAGGACTCGGCCGCTGGTCATGATGTATCCTGCTACCAGCGCGTACTTATACCCATCGATGCAAACCTTATGGGGTCTGCTAAGATCCAACGTCAGGGTTCCTCCCGACTTCTCCTCAGGACTCAAGCTTTGATGAAGCTTCCGATTTCCCTTGGCCTGAACACAATGTGGGCAATCGCGATCATACAGCCCCTGATGGCACTTCTTATTATGCAAGTCGATCATTGCTTGCTTCTGCGCCCGCTCTTCGAAAGATGAGGCTGGACCCTCAGCATCCGGCTGTTCTAGATCGACTACGCCGACAGCTTTAGGAGGCGCTTCCGTTGTTGAGGATTCGTCCTCCAGATCAATCACCGGGTGCTCAGACGCGGATATCATGGCAGCATGAGTTTTGCCGGAGTCCTCAAAACAACCTGGAATGCCAACAGAACCCTGCTCAGCTTGACCAAACCCGAACTGCCCTCCTGATGAACCCTCAAAACCCTGATCTTGGTCGTTCGTCGTCGTCTGAGGTCGGGTGTTTTGGTCGTCGTCGCACGCTGCGTCTTGCTGAATGTTGCTGGCGTTGGCTTCTGAAGCTTCTGCTGCAAAGTATGGGAATCCCAAACCTCGCAGCCGCTCGCGGTCGCCGGCAGTCAAGTTCTCTGTCCGGGTCGTAAAACATGATATTGAAATGCGAGTGCCTGTCCACGGTGTGGTTCCATGCCACTGCTTCGGATCAAAGACCAATGGATTCCGGGAAATTGGAAACACGATGCCCTTCAGCGTCTTTCCCTCGGCAACAGTTCGGATTTCGTCGCCATCCTCACGCTGAACCCGGAGATCACCACCCTGGCATGAATTTCTGTCGCTCACCACCACAACCACGTTTCTAGATCCTGGCTCGTTGTTTCGGTCTTGATGGGGAGCAAACGCTACATCCTGAGAGATCGTGAATGATGTCCAAGCCATGTGTGGAACTTCTTGATGCATAAGTTTGTTGATGAGTTTCACTAGGCACGGTCGCTCTCGAGTATGTCGCGCAACACCACTCAACGATCCCTGCCCGAAAGCCCCAAACAACCACGACTTGAAACCAGTGGGATTGTCAGTCTCGGCGCATCTGCGGTGATGCTGCTGTGGCTTGATGTCTGCCTTCAAGATTGCCTCTAAGACCTCATCATAGCTAACGGTTTTTCGATTCAAAAGGTTCTGTGCAAACTCTTCTCCCGATGACAGATGAGACTGCAATGACTGTGTAGTGTATGCGCAGATCCCTGGACCTCGCACGCAATCAGATCGTCAAAAGCAATCGATTTCAAAGCACATGGCCCCTCAGCTGCAATCTGCGCACACTTGGCACGCTTCTAATTACGATACTTTGCTGACAACTCACCTCTAATTCCCGCAAAGTCGCCCCAAGCCATGTATGGAAGCCCATTCTCAACTGTCATGTGAATCACTTCTGCGTCTGGCCCTGACCACGAATCAAGCGAACTCCGAACTCAGGATCCCACTCGAACCGAAAACCCAAGGCAACAATCTTCCCTATCGGAGCTATCCAAGTAGACTCATCCCCCGGTATGGCAAGCTCGCCGTCCCGAGTGCGATAAGCAAAAGTGGTGTTGCCATCAGCAAGAGTCAAGTACTCCTTGCACGATCTTTGAGGTTGCCCTTCCCCAGCTGGCCGAATGAGCTCATTAGCCCCTGTATCAGCTAAGACCCGTCGCTCCTCCTGAACGATGCTATTGGACTGTGCACATGCAGCCAACGACCTGTCTTGTGCTCGAAGTGCCGGTGCTCTCGCCACAGGTGCCCTAGCCGCTTGTGCTCTCGCCACAGTTGTCCTAACCGCTGGTGCTCTCGCCACAGTCGCATGCGTGCCACTCGCATCGAACACCCTACGTGTAGAAGAGGCTCTAGCCCTAGCGCTAGGTATCACTGATTGCTGAGCTCCTATCAACGCTGGTGGTGGTGGCACTGTCGGTGCCTTTGCCGCGGGGATTCCCCGCTCCCCCCACTCTCGAGCGACTGGTTCGCAAGGCTGAACTACCGGTCTAGACAGAGCTCGAACTACGGCTAGCATCCTTTCACGACCAGTCTCCTCCTCAAGGACATGCACAACGAACACATGACGCTCTACTTGATCCTCACGCATCACGAACACAACATCACATCTGAGCATCACCACTCCCTCAGCAATCGGAATCACTCCTCTCTCATCTTCGTCAAGTTGATCCTGGACAATGGAGAGCCACACAGCCCATGTGATAGCCCACGGGTTCGTTTCTCTCGAAAACTCACGGCTCGCTCGGACTTGTGTACTAGAGGACCCTCGCAAAGACAGATACTCCTGCAAAGTCATATCTAGCACCCATAGCGGTCCATCAACATGCTCACGCTCGAAATCAGCATCACTCGATGATTCATCTGACTCTTCGGATGGGAATACGCCCGCCTCAACATCTGACCACTCAGGCGTTCTAGCCTCTGCGTGCATGGGTATCGCCTCTGACACTACGGATGCCTCAGACTCGCTACCTTCCGACTCCACATCCCTCCTAATCATCATGGCTGTGGATCTCGAAGCGTGTGCTGACATGGACATGACTGCAGATGCCTTAGCTGTTGCTCCTACTAGCTTGTCCTTGGTTACGGCGGGTGCTGCCTTAGGTTTTGCCGCAGGTTTCGGACTTGCTTTCGGCGCAGCTGCATCGGCTGTCGCATGATGGAACTTACACTTCTTTCCGAATCTACACTTGCCAGTCTTCTTCCAAATCAAGCACTCAGTACCACTCTCTGCTACAGCAGCGCTAGGTGGCCCCGGCGGTGGCGGTGGTGCCAACGGTGCTGTGTTTGGATTTTGAGCCGGCTTATCATGACTGAAAAAACACCTATCCCCAAATCGACACCTGCCGAACTTTGCCCGAAACTGGCATGGCTTTCTCTTTGTGCTTGGATCTCCCTGCTTTCCCGGTTTCCCCTTGCCCTTGCCTTTCGATGCCTGGGGATCCGGTGGATCCACATGTTGCCGATTGCTTCGCACATGCTCGTCAGCGGACAAGAGTTGCAGCTGCTGCTCGACAAGTTCGAGAAAGGATTCCACACCCGCAGTCGTTGGTCGAACGATCTCTGGTCTGGTTCTGAGTAAACCCAGCACCGCGCGCAAGCGATCATGCTTCCGCTCCAAATTTCGGACCAAAGCTCCCAGCGCCTGAAGCTCCTCGTAGGCGGCAACCGACGGCATAGACAGTGAAGATGCCCTTGCCCTAGCCAATTTCCACCTTCGCAATGTAGACAAAGCTTCTGTAGCGCTGTTCACAGGTTGCAAAGCCCGGATGAATGAGTTAATAGATGCCATCTCAGCTGTCCCACCAGGCTGCAAGTTCTCTAGAATGCCACTCAGAAGCTCTGCTGCCCTGATAGGTTCACTCTCAGAGTTCTTCTCCAAAACACCCTGCTTCAACTCAGCGGGAATGCACCGAATCAGCATCAGCACGAAGCGATTTTCATGCTCAAGATCCTCAGTCGCAACCGCCGACAAGGGTCTGGGACCGTACAGCCCTGCAAGTTGTTGTTGATGCCTCGTTTCCGCAAGTTGAAACTGCCGCCGGACATAGCTACCAAAGGAATCCGCGATGGTGCCCGATATAGTCTCCACTTGCTTAATCCACGTTCTCAACCGCATTCCCTGCTCCCATGGCTCGCCAGCGCCTAAAGTCAGGAGAGGCACATCCTGAAGCAGCTTCCAACGTCCATGATGAATTTGCTCAGCGGCCTTTGCCGGCTGCCCTGAACACGGTGCAGTAGGAATTTGCTGCACCACAACTTCTGATGTCTGCTGTTGACCGTTGCCAGTCCCACTCTCAGAAGCCACAGTTGCACTCGGACCTAGTTCAAGCCCGGGTGGCACAGCTGATGGTAGATTCAGCTCTCCTCCTGAAGGATGGTGATCTGAAGTCGCTGGGATCTCCGGCCACCACTCCTGTTCGAACGCGTCTTCCAGCTCACCGGCCGTATACATCTGGAATTGCGTCACCTTATTCTCACACAGACCCAGGCGCTCGTCCACTTCAAGTTGCCGCTCTGCAACCTCATATGCAAGCATTTGGGTGACATCCAGCTCCTGCCTGATGTTGCTAAATCATCTGTGTTTTGCTTCATTCCTGCTTCGAGGACCTCGACCCTGGACAGGGACTCCGAAGTCGCAGGACCATCAATTCCATCCGACACCCGGTGGCACGATTCCATCACATCCTTCACAGCCCTTTCGAAGCCCTGAAGACGGTCTGATGTTGCCACACTTGTGGCCTCGTGCTTCTGATTGATGTCGTGTTGATCACGGAACCTCACCTCAAGCTCCGCCTGTATCTTTGCAATGTGTGCCTCTATCTGGGCCTGCCATTGCACCGGTCCTAGTGAAGCCTGCCGTGTTTCCTCCCTGGCGTCTGCCAGGTGAGCACGCGCTTCTGCGATTTCACTACGCAAACCTTGATTCTCCGCAATGAGATTCTGCAAGACACTCGTATGAGCATCGACGGACTGCTGCGCACGCTGCAGGTGCTCCCACAGCTGATTGTACCAGCATTCAAGGATGTTGCTGTGTTTCCTAGAACATTCGTCCGATACTGCATACGATCATGGAGTTCGACAACAGCAGCACGGAGATCCTCAGGGATGGACGCATCAAGGGCACTTGCCTGTGCGAACTGCTCCATAGCCTGAACATGAATGTCCAATCTTGTAGCTTGCATCAATGTTGCTGTCCCAAGATTCGCCCCACTTGAGGTAGAGCCTGCTGTTGCTGCTGCTGCTGCAGTGGTGCTTGGGCTCATAACCTGTTGGTTATGGCCCGCTGAAATGATTGCTGATCCAAGTTGCCGGAGCTGCGTCGTCGTCTGATGTCGATCTGGACTATTCGTATCGGTAATCGGACTATAATGATCAGGAAGAGTTCGAATTCAACGACTGGAGTCGACATCTCCTCGTCTTCTTGTTGATCCGCGCTCGCCGTGCCTCTGAGACGTTCTCTAATCTGCCACGGCACGTCATCTAGATGATTATAAGATGGATTCATGATCGGATCAAATCAAGCTCCGAAAGCAACCGCATCCCGCACGATCTTTCCCCTGTGCAGTGATTCAAGATCAGGCTTGAGCCAAACGTTGTCATGTAACAGCTTGTACTGAGACATGCGCACCGCCTTCTTCGAAGCAGTGATATGAGCAGTACTCGATCCCTCACATGACCAACAGGCAGAAGGCTTTTATGCTCGCAAGATAGGAGACTGACAACCGGTCCGGAATAAACAGAGATATCGGCGCACTGGGACATGTACACACACACATGCATGTGCTGATACATGGATACTCAGCGGATACACACAACCAACGTTATGCCGTTATGCATGTTTCTCACACGCAGACGCAAGATGGCAGGCAGGTTGACAGTCGTAGCAGGGTTTGTGTTTGTTGTCGTTTCATAGGTTCAACAGTGATGCGGCTGAATTGATTGGAGATACGTTCATGTGCCTGTATGTGTTTGTCACTCCAGCTAAAGTCCCTGAACCCCTTAAACCCCAAACCCTAAACTCGATAAACCCTAAACCTCTAAACCCTTAACCCCAAAACCCTGCACCCTCAACCCGGAAACCAAATTGCCTGACACTTTTGAAGCTAAAGGCCATCCTGTTACAGGAACCAGGGGTTCGCGCGTGACTACAAGGAGAGCCTGGTCTTCGTACAAGTTTCTGTTAAAGGTCGGCATGCTGCCGTCACGGAGAATACTCTGTCAGAATCCTGGGACACATTGCCGGATGCCTGCTCTTGTGGGGACGAACCAGACGCCGCTGCCGCAGCCGCTGCCGCTGCCCCAGCACCACTCGCAGCTGCTTGTTGCAACTCTGCCTAGCTGCTTAGTCTCACTCTCCGACCTCTCTCTTGCGGTGAGCCCTGGATTGGCGGCTTGCTGGCACCGCTTCTTCAGCAAAGTGCTGCCAAGCGTCTTGACTCAGGACGCCTTGCCCAGATGCAATGGCCGCTTGGGCAGCTGCAGCTATTTGCTGCTCTGTGGTCATGTTAAGGCTCGCAGCAGCCGCCGCCGCGCTTGCAGCTGCTGCAACTGCCTCCACTCGCGATGTGCCACGAGCAACGTTACCGCGCGAAGTGCGACGGAACGAGACTGGGATGCTACCTTTCTCGAAAGGGTTGAAGTCACACGTTCAGGAACCACACGCACCTGCTGCAAGGACGTCTGGTTGGCTGCATTGGTCTGGTTGGATGCAGGCGACAGTGCACCCAGCAGGCTACCCAGTGTCGTAGCCGCCAGATTGTCAGCAACCTAGAACGGTCTTGCGATACAGGAACAAGTGATGCATGCTGGCATAAAGAAACGGCCCCCCGACCGTTTGTGTGGCGTTTGATGCCAGGGCGGCAGCAGACACTGCTGCCTCAGGCGCAGGAACGGGGCAGCACTTGATGCTTCCACTGTGGATGATGCCGAGCTGCCGCTGCAGCAGCGGCCTGTTGCTCTGCTGTCTGCCCGGCACCTTCTGCCAACGTACTGCCTCGAGCGATCAGGAGCAGTGAAACCCTTTACACCGGCGCCCTCTCTAGACGAGCCTGCAGTGCTTGCCAGAGCCACGATCTGCTCCAGCGTCAATCCACTTGCAGCTCCTGGCAAAATCGCACTATCGAGACCCAACGACGAGGGTGCCACAAGCTGTCCCTATGCTCAACTCTCCTGACGCTGCAACAGCTGCAGCGGCTGCTGCAATCCTCATCCAGTGCGAAAAAGATATCCAGGTGCACTCAGTGACTCCGAGGCGAGCTGAGCTGGCCGCTGTTCCGCCAGCGTACCTCCTGCCGCGGCTATGGCGGCGCCAGCGGCGGCGCCGGCAGCCAAAGCCTGCTCTTCTGCGCTCCTGCCAGGCGAGCTGCTTCAAGAAGATATATAGACTCGTTAGACTACTCTCTTCGAATGAGGTCCCGCTGAAGAGATCGCTGATGGCAGCGGCTGCCGCAGCGCCTGCAGCCGCAGCCTGCAAGAATGTCCAACGCAGCATGTCACAATCCCGCATGTGTCTGCATATGTAAGCATTGAGATGACGGACTCATTCGCACTATCCATGAACACGGACGATGTAGCTCAAGGCTCAAGCAAGTGATGCACAAATGTACCCGCTAGCATCCGAAAGGCACTGCAGCAAGAGCCAAGAGCAGCCAGCATCATCAGCATTCAGCATCGCCGCTGATAGACTGATAGCAGTCCGCAACCATCACCACGGCCACCACAGGTTATAACACAGTGCTGAATTGTGTGCAGAGTCAGCCAGAGAGCAAGGCTTTCATCTGCAGTTTGCAACGGCAGCATCTCTTCCATCAGACATTACCTTGCAACAATCACACGGCGCACATGTTGCCGGATGATGCCGGATGCCTGCTCTTGTGGGGACAAACCAGACGCCGCTGCCGCAGCCGCTGCCGCTGCCCCAGCACCACTCGCAGCTGCTTGTTGCAACTCTGCCTAGCTGCTTAGTCTCACTCTCCGACCTCTCTCTTGCGGTGAGCCCTGGATTGGCGGCTTGCTGGCACCGCTTCTTCAGCAAAGTGCTGCCAAGCGTCTTGACTCAGGACGCCTTGCCCAGATGCAATGGCCGCTTGGGCAGCTGCAGCTATTTGCTGCTCTGTGGTCATGTTAAGGCTCGCAGCAGCCGCCGCCGCGCTTGCAGCTGCTGCAACTGCCTCCACTCGCGATGTGCCAGGAGCAACGTTACCGCGCGAAGTGCGACGGAACGAGACTGGGATGCTACCTTTCTCGAAAGGGTTGAAGTCACACGTTCAGGAACCACACGCACCTGCTGCAAGGACGTCTGGTTGGCTGCGTTGGTCTGGTTGGATGCAGGCGACAGTGCACCCAGCAGGCTACCCAGTGTCGTAGCCGCCAGATTGTCAGCAACCTAGAACGGTCTTGCGTTACAGGAAAGTGATGCATGCTGGCATATAGAAATGGCCCCCGGCCGCTTGTGTGGCGTTTGATGCCAGGGCGGCAGCAGACACTGCTGCCTCAGACGCAGGAACGCGGCAGCGCTTGATGCTTCGACTGTGAATGCAATGCTGCCGAGCTGCCGCTGCAGCAGCGGCCTGTTGCTCTGCTGTCTGCCCGGCAGCTTCTGCCAACGTACTGCCTCGAGAGATCAGGAGCAGTGAAACCCTTTACACCGGCGCCCTCTCTGGACGAGCCTGCAATGCTTGCCAGCGCTGCGATCTGCTCCAGCGTCAATCCACTTGCAGCTCCTGGCGAAATCGCACTATCGAGACCCAACGACGAGGGTGCGACAAGCTGTCCCTATGCTCAACTCTCCTGCCGCTGCAACAGCTGCGGCGGCTGCTGCAATCCTCATCCAGTGCGAACAAGATATCAAGGTGCACTCAGTGACTCCGAGGCGAGCTGAGCTGGCCGCTGTTCCGCCAGCGTACCTCCTGCCGCGGCTATGGCGGCGCCAGCGGCGGCGCCGGCAGCCAAAGCCTGCTCTTCTGCGCTCCTGCCAGGCAGGAAGCAATGCCAGGCTGACAGCGGGCACGGCAAGGCACAGAAAAAGGGTCCCGGAAAATGTGTTGACGGCATCGGCAGCAGCCGTGCCAGCAGCTGCCGCCTACGCTTTGAAAGACATTTCGCAAACACTCGTCGAACCTTGCAGTGGGATGGAAGGCCTGCTCGCTGGCCGTCGCCCCAGCATCGGCTGCCGCGCTTGCAGCAGCCACCCCAGCAGCTTTTCCTGCGAATCCTGCTTGATCCTGCACAGACAAAGAAGCCACAGCGACATGATCCGCAGGACTCTGCGCGGCTCCGCGTTGCGCTATGCTGCACTCCTGAAGCGTCAGGTTGTAGAAAGCTCCGACCCCGCCAGCTGCGCGACCAGCCGCATCTGCTTCCGCAGTGGCATTCATCCCGGCACTTCTCGCCGCTGCGGAGGCGCCCAGTCCAGCCATGGCGGCCTCCGAAAAAGGTGCAGCTTTGACGCGCAGTGCAAGTGCGCGCGAAACGCGGAAAAAACCCGCCGCCTGCTCGGGGATGGGGAGGTTTAGGTCGGCCGCGGCTGCCTCAGCTTGCAACTCAGCTTGCACTCTGCAACTACCTGTACACTTGCTGTCGCAAGGAGTTGCAAAGCGAGCAGCACGAGCGGCTTCTCCAGCCAAGGCGGCTTGCTCTGCCGGCGACTTTCCCTCACTGGCTGCTTGCTCAGCTGCAGCCTTGGCTTCTTTGCCCACAACTAACAAGGATCCAGCTAGAGGCTACAAACTACAAGCAGCTATCAGTACGAATTGACTCAACAGTGCTAAGAGTGGGCTGAATGCCAGTTTGGCAGTCCCGCCTGTGCAGCATCCAAGATTTGGACGCTCAGCGGAACGGTGGTGCTGGTACCTACGCACGCAGCTGTGAGGCTGCGAACCCATCTGCAAGTCTATCATGTACAGAGAGGCTGAAGCTCTTTGCGACCGAGCGTGCTGGAGGTGACGGAAACCGATGTCGTCGAAGTTGCTGTGTGGGAGGTTGTGCTCGTGGAAGATTGCGTGGAGGAAGTGCTGGAGGAAGTCACGGTCGTACTGATGGTCTCAGTTTTGCTGGTGGAGGTAGCCGTCGATGTAGTGACTGTGACTGTGGTGGCTGTGGAGCTGGTGGTTGAGCTGGTCATCGTGGTGACCGATGTCGTCGTTGAAAAAGTTCGGCTTGTGGTTGAAGATTTTGTGCTTGAGGATGTTGTACTGACCGTGATGGATGTGACGGAGGACGAGGTCAAAGTCAATGAGGTGCTTGTTGAGGTGAATGACGTAGTTGTGACCGATGTCTCTGTGACGCCAGTCGTCCTGACATCTTTCGGAAAATTAGCTGCTAAAATGCCGCATGGGTCTTCACAGACGACAAGAGGATTGCACGCACATGCTGGCATGGATCGAAGAACTTGTCATTGTTGTTGCTGTGGTTGAGACCTCAGTCCGCGAAGGTCTGGCAAGCACCTCGGTGCCCTTGCAGGTTTCAGGCCCGTGCCGTGGTGGTGGTTGATTGTCCCAGATCTCCAAACATGATTGATGTTCCGCCTGAAGATGCAATGTTGCCTGACAGGCGCAGCACGACTGCCAAGATCTCAGGCTGGAGTTTCCCACCTGGTTGGAGGGACTCTCCATACGTGTTGACAGCATAGATTACCACCTGAGTCTGCATCATCGCAGCATACACGTTCGCCGCGCCTCTCTTGCTGTTCGTAAGCTTCCAACATGGTACCTGCTGCTCAGCTCAATGCCTGTCAACCAGAGCTCTGAGCCATCAGATCAGAGGAGCTGCGGACCGCAGCGCGCCTGTACCAACCACTACTTCCGTCACGTCCCATGTGACCGGGTCGCCGAAAGCAACTTTGTTCAAGCCGGCCTCCCAAGGAATGAAACTCTGGGCTCAGTGTGCGCCTGAAATCACGGCTTAGACGCAACTGAGTAAACAAAAGCGGAGGCGCAAGTCCGATGTGCAGCATCTGCTGGACTCACGGTTGGCCCGCCAGCCGTGAGAAGGGCATGCAAGATGCACATGATAACACCCGGCACCATGTGAAAAAAAAGACAAGGCCTGCGCACATGCACGACCCACATTCTGCCAGCTAGCCGCTTGGTTGACTTACCGGCTTGCTTACTTCCTTACCTACTGAACTCCTTGCCCAGCCACACACCTGCCAGTCCGGCTGCCTGCCTGCCTTTTTATCTGCCTACTCCAACAACAATCAATCACTCACTTGCTGGCACATAACCTGATGATTCGGTTTTGAGCCTGGTCCTCAGCGAGGTACACAGCATAGTGGGTGATGTGGCCAAGGTCGGTGTTGGAGGCCAGTGTCCACCTTCCGTGTGCGCATGGTACACCGTCCAAGATGCGGCCGCTTCTACACTGCTGTCCCTGGTACGAAGCAAGCCTGGCCTTACGGTTCCTGAGGCGAAGTTGCCTGCAGGATCCTCCGGAACACTGCGAGTCACAGAGGCTGCCTTCAACAGCCAACCGTCCTCATCTGTGAAAGTGACCGTGGCGAAGGATGGCTGGTCAGGAACGGCGCCGCTGTCGTCGTACCTCGTCTTTGCTTTGGACAGCCCGCAGTCTCGACCACTCTCCGCCAAAGATGAAGGGACAAAAGCATCATACTCCACTCCCGCAACCGTGAGCAACAGAACCCGTGATTCCAGGGCTCCGGCAGTGGCAAGCTGGCCGCATCAATGTAGGTTGAGATAGTGCCACCCTGTCGAGCGGGGCATTGGAGGCTACAAGAGCTTTCACGAGATCCACGTCAAACTCTGAGGGTCGAACAATGCTTGGGTACACAAGTAGCCAGTTTGCAGGAAAGGCAGTGCCTGTCCTCAGGGCATGATGCCGTCGAAGCTTGTTGCTAAGCGGCTTAGCCGAACTGATACACCTGGGCTTCA